GTTGAGAGATTGCAATGGGTACGTCGTGGTTGCTTTGATGGTAATAGGTGTTGTGGCCGTGGTGGTGATTGTGGTTGCGGCTGTGGTGGTGACTGTGGTGAAGACTGTAGTGATAACTGTGGTGGTGACTGTGGCCATGATTGTGGTAGTGACTGGTAATAGCTGTGGTGATGACTGTGGTTGTGGCGGTGACTGTGTTGATGACTGTGGTAGTAGCCGTGGTGGTGACTGTGGTAGTAGCTGTAGTGATGACTGGTAGTAGCCGTGGTGGTGACTGTGGTAGTAGCCGTGGTGATGACTGTGGTAGTAGCTGTGGTGATGACTGTGGTAGTAGCCGTGGTGGTGACTGTGGTAGTAGCCGTGGTGGTGACTGTGGTAGTAGCCGTGGTGGTGACTGTGGTAGTAGCCGTGGTGGTGACTGTGGTAGTAGCCGTGGTGGTGACTGTGGTAGTAGCTGTGGTGATGACTGTGGTAGTAGCCGTGGTGGTGACTGTGGTAGTAGCCGTGGTGGTGACTGTGGTAGTAGCCGTGGTGGTGACTGTGGTACTAGCTGTGGTAGTGGCTGTGGTGGTGACTGTGGCGAAGGCTGGAAGTAGCCGTGGTGGTGAATGTAGTGGTATGCGTTGGTTTGTAGTGGTGATGGTCTGGGCATTCGAGGCCGCCGGAGTGCGAGTCGTCAGAGCGTTGGTGGTGTAGGGGACAGCAATGGCCGTGGTGATGTGTGGTTCGTAATATGTGACTCATAAGGTAAATAACGATTTTGTTTAGGATATTAGACCTCAGGACGCTAAGAATGTCTGCTGTTAATGTCTTGAGCGTCTTGTAATGTTAACCCTCCCCCCAACCGTCCATATAGCTCTCACACCCCAAATTCCCTCTTACCCCAATCCCTCCCTCTCGAAGCAACCTCATCCCCAATTACCCCAATTTCCTCTACGACACGCCAACCCCATTCGCTCTCCTATTTGCCTATTAGCTATACCCTATATTTTAATGCTCTCCACCTCCGCCTCCTTTTGCCCCCCCCCCCCCCAACACGCTCCTAACCCCTTTTCTGCAACACTACTTCTCCAGCCCCCTCCTCAACCCCACACTTAGGATCTCCATCTCCCCAACCACCCCCTCATCAACTACATTTTCCCCAACTCCCATCCCCTACCATATCCTCCCCTCTCACCAACCCCTCCCCAACCCCACCTCCCCACTTCCTCACTTCCCCAACCCTATCCCCCCCTTATTCCCAATCCCACCTCCCCAACCCTATCCCCCCCTTATTCCCAATCCCACCTCCCCACCTCCCATCCCCTACCAGTCCCTCCCCTTTCCCCAACCTTTGTCCAACCTTACCACCCTCTCTCCAACCCTTTCCCATCCCCACCTCCCATGCCTTTCCCATCTCCCCACTTCCCCAACCCCTCCCTAACCCCCACCTCCCATGCCTTTCCCATCTCCCCACTTCCCCAACCTCTCCCTAACCCCCACCTCCCCTTCCCCTACCCCTCCCTAACCCCCACCTCCCCTTCCCCAACCCCTCCCTAACCCCCACCTCCCCTTCCCCAACCCCTCCCTAACCCCCACCTCCCCTTCCCCAACCCCTCCCTAACCCCCACCTCCCCTTCCCCAACCCCTCCCTAACCCCCACCTCCCTTTCTCCCAACCCCTCCCTAACCCCCACCTCCCTTTCCCCAACCCCTCCCTAACCCCCACCTCCCTCTTCCCCTACCTCTTTTTTTATACCCAAAAAGCGAGCGCCTTTTCCTTGCCTCCTGAAGTTTTGCATGGCGTGAGAAAAATCTGTTGTGAGATCATCATATTCCATCATTATTTTGATCAGGGCCACTTATTACCACGCTGAGGGGGGTGGGGGGGTGGGGAAAGGAGGAGGGAGGGGGTGGAGGAGGAGGAAAGAAGGAAGGAGGGGGGAGGAGGGAAGGAAGGAGGAAGGAGGGGGGAGGAGGGAAGGAAGGGGGAGGAGGTAAAGCGAAGGGAGGAGGAGTGGAGCAGAGAGGAAGGAGGAGAAGGAAGATAGGGAGGGGAAGGAGGAGGGTGGAAGAATAGGTGGGGATGGAGGGAAGGGAGGAGGGGGGGGCGAGGGAGGGGAGGAGGAAGATGAAGGCTAATAAGAACAAAAGGAGGAGGGGGAAGGTATGGAGGAGGATGGGAGGGGTAGGAGGGAGAGCAGGAAGAGAAAAAAAAAGAGGAGAAAAGAAGGAGGAAGGAAAAAGGGGAGAGAGAGAAAGAGGAGAAGAGAAGGAGGAAGGAGGTAGGAGAAAGAGAGATAGCGAGAGAAAAGTAACCTGGAATGGGTTGTTTGTATTTTTCTTTTCTCTCCGTTTTTCGTTTTTTTTTTCCTATTTTGTCTCTTTTTCGCTCGCTCTTTTTTATATTTTTATTCTTTCTCTCTCTCTCTCTCTCTCTCTCTCTCTCTCTCTCTCTCTCTCTCTCTCTCTCTCTCTCTCTCTCTCTCTCTCTCTTTCTCTCTCTCTCTCTCTCTCTCTCT